AATTTACTTTTGATACACGAAGGTCTTTATATTCTGTTCAAATACATTATTAAAATACAGAATAAGTTATTTAATACAGAAATTTGTTATTTATAATTATATTATATTTTCCTTTACTAAATAACACACACTTCATCTTTAAATGCTTGAAAATTATTCATAAACTTAGAATATGAAAACATATTTCAAATGCAAAAACATTTTAAATTCAACTGCATAAAATATTTAAGAAGTTCTCAAAAGCAAGTAAATATTACTATCAATTAATTGAAGAAGTTTTAATATAATATTACAAACATGTTTTTGAAGTATCAATCTTTAAATGCATCATTTCAAATGCAGTTAATTCAGATGAACTAACAGGAGATATTTGTTGTGCAAAGTGTTAAAAACAAAAATAGATTCAAAAGTTTATGTAAAATTGAATTAAGACTCCTTCAGTTAATTAAAAGTTCTGTTTTTACTTGTTTTTGAGGATTTCATAATAACAGATTTTCAATTCCTTGTAATATATAATAACAAAAACATTATGCTTTTTGCTTATGATTATCGAATGATATTGTTAATTAATTCAATGCCAGCAATAAAAATGTTTAATAAAAATGTTTTCAACCGTTTTTAAACGGCCATCTTCAGTTGAACCAATATTAAAAAAGAACACTAAAAAAAAGAACGCATGAAATACAAGGAAGGAGAAATCTGGATGGACATTTATCGCAAACCAGTTTATCAACCTATCATTATTCCCAGGAATTCCATCGATCCTAGGCACATTAAATATGCAGCCATTCGGGCATGGATTAAACGGGCATATACGCATTGCACGAGTATCTATGATACTTACAAAGAGTTGGATTACATTAGGAAGACAGCAATGCAGCAAGATTATCGGAGGGGAAGGTGGACGAGCTTATTACGAAGTTTCAGAATCAGAATCGGCAGCATCCCAAAAAAATGACCCAAGAACAAAGAGTAGTTCTTAATTATTTTCCTTTTTTAAACAAAATGATTAGGAGGGTGGCGAACAGTAATAATCTACAAATAGTATATTGGCGTAATCCGACGATCTACAGAATGTTAAGAAACGGTAAGAGAAAGGAAAAGCGAAATAATTTACCAGGAGTTTATTTTATACCTATAAAGGATCAGCGGTTCAACTCGGACCTTGTTTACATGGGTGCTACTATGTGGCAGTTAAAACAAAGACTCAAGGAACATAAATACTCTGTGAGTAAGAACATAGATGCCACAGTACTCACAGCATTTGCCAAACAGCAAGAGGTCGAGGTATATTGGGATCAAGCCTCGATCATTAGAGCCGTGAATTCTAGACAGGCAGTGAAATACCTTGAAAAGATAGAGATACACAAGGCACACATAAATAAGGGATGCATTAATCATAGAGATGCAGAAGGGTTATCTTATGCCTGGAAATCCTTTTACAATAACGCAGATTAACACCTTGTAATCAACGTATATTCTCCCCCCTTTTCTTGGCAGCTTTATTATTTTTATGTTATTTGCAAGTTATTTATAGATTTTCAGAAGACGCAAGTCCAATGAATTACGCATGCGCATTTCAGTTTCTGTTTAATTTGTATTTCATGCGTTCTTTTTTTTTAGTGTTCTTTTTTAATATTGGTTCAACTGAAGATGGCCGTTTAAAAACGTTTTTATTAAACATTTTTATTGCTGGATAGTTAAAGGTTTATTTTATTTATATTATTTATTCATTCCAGTATAAGTTCTTGTTTTTATTGATGGATGCATTTAAGGGACACCTCACAGACAACATTAAAAATCTTCTAGAGGAAAACAAGAGCACTCTCATGACAATTCCTGGAGAATGGCATCATAATTACAGCCCTTGGACATATGTATCAACAAGCCATTTAAAGATTGCATGAGGAAACTATATTGACTGGCTTACCTCCGAAAATTGTGAAGTGATTTAAATTGGTCATATCAAACTGGCTAAAGCTCCACAGATTGCTACATGGGTATCAGTTGTGTGGAAGAGCATTTCTCAAGAGCTGATAGCAAAGTCATTTAGGAAATGCTGCATTTCAAATTCATTTGACAGATCAGAGGACAATGTTTTGTGGAGTGAGAGTGAAAAAGAGGAGAGTTGTAATGAAGCTTTGGAGGGCAAGTTTGAGTAGACTAAAGGTGATAGTGTCAAGAAAACATGGTTGTCAGCCTTAATATGTGCATTTGATAATAGTTTATTTGTAATTAAATGAAATACAGTTAAAATTGTAGTAATAAATTTAATTTTCTTTATTTTGATCTTTAAAGTTATACTTCAGTCTATATGTGAAATTTTCCTATATGCAAGTAAATATGGTATATTAGTTNTCATAGCCAATATTGATTTAAATTACCAACAGTTTATTTATAATATAATACAATTCAATTAAATGAAAAGTTTATTCTCATTGAATATATGATATATAACAGGAGTCATATAATGTCTATCAAACATACATAAGAGCCATAACCTCTGTTGGAAAAGTATTTTAAATATATATACAGTAGACCCCCCTATAACACAGTAGATACGTTCCGTGTTATATGAATTCCATGTTGTACGAGTCACTTAAATACATGAGCCAATCACATCCCGGCACGTGCAGTTTAAAAACTACGGCTGTTTGAAAGGTTTTCTTCCATAAAATTAACCGATTTTAGACTAATTTGACTCAACATTTCCAAAACACGTATAATTTTTTGGGAATAATCCATATAAACTATGCTATAAACAAAAAATTGTAGAATTACTTACCAAGTGTGCACTATTTGACAACGCCATTGCTTAAGCTTGTTTTCATTGCAGAGTGGCTCATCAAATGGCGGGCGCATGTTTCCTGATAAGTTATTGAATATTTTTCTGCGAAAAATTTGCTGAACTTTGGAGACATCATTAATATAAATATAATTTTTATGGTCGTTAAATAATAAACGGTTTTTTAGTACGTCTGCTGCTCATTTAAACTCAACAGTTTGTACAATATCCGCCATTGGTCCAGATTCAACCAATCCTGTTGCAACATGAGTCAGCGATAACGTTTTACTGTGTTATACAAGTCTCTTTTAGCGTGTTATATGAACATGATTAAAATTTTTTCGCCATGTTATATGAATCTGTGTTATATGAACCCGTGTTATAGGGGGTCTACTGTAATTAAAATACTATAGTTATCACTGTTCTATAGTAAATATTACTGTTATGTTAGATTAAAAATGCATATGTTTGAGTAGACATAAGAAAGGCTATCTAAAAGAACTTTAAAAAAGATAGGTTTATTATAAATTAATTTTTTTGTTTTATATAAATATACGAGTATATCACTAATTTTTCTCCTTTACTTACTGGTAGAAGGTTTGTAGGTTTGTAGTTGGGACACTAACTGTTTAAAATTTACTTCATATGAACTTATACTTAGCATTCAGTTGCCTGTTCAAAGTTATGTTGCAAGGTACACTTAAAATCTGTATGTATAGCATGATACATAACAGTCAGCAAACTTACAAAGAAAATATTACCTATGTACCAAATTTAAAAAGTAATGTATAAGTATAGGGGAGCCACAGCAAAGGTCTAGAATAGATACATGTGGCTTGCAAGTTGCAGTTTGGACACTGTGGACATACAGTATAAGATATATCAATTACAGCATTTCTCATTCTCTCTTCCTCTCTTCAACTGAAGGGTTGTAAGTAGCATCAAATCCACCATTCAATTCTATTTAGTGCCTGTTGCTGTAATGTGTTTTTGCTTTTCACTATATCCTAATATTCCATTCTTGATTGTTCTCTTATTGCTTTTCTCTTCATCATTCCCTCAAATAATACTTTCATCCATTCTGAATATCTAAAAGTTGTTCTATCAGCTTGTTTATAGTGTTAAGAATGCTTCACTAAAACTTGCTCATTGCACAATTTTCCAGTCCAAGCTAATTTCTGCATTCTCCTACAATACCACATTTCTAAGGCCTGTAGTTTTGTCCTCTCTTTTTTCCTCAACTTCCATGTTTCAAAATTATAGGTCACTCTCCAAACATAACTTTTGATGAGACTTTTCTTCATGTTCACAAAGATGTTCCATGATGTTAGCACTCCTTTCATTCTGTAGAACACTTCTTTTTTCCCATGGAATTCTCTATGTCACATCTTTTTCACACCTTCCATGTGATGTTATGAGGCTTTCCAGGTAACAGAAATTCTCCACTCTGTCTAATTCTTTTCCCTCCAGTGTTATTATAGCATGCTTTTCATTTCCTCTTGAATAAATCAATACTTTTGTCTTTGTTATATTAAGTTGCATTTGACCTTATGTGCATTATTAAGGTCTCCTAATGCCTCCTATAGCTCTTGTTCACAGTTTGCAACTATATCTATATCCTCTACTCTATTATCCTTTATTAATTTTTATTTTTACTTTTATTTTTATGTGTATAATTAGTATATGCATATATTTGTACATTTTCGGTCTGTAGATTCTATTTATATATTTTTGGACTTGCACAATAGGCGTTCAGAAAACTTTTAAAGCTAAAAATGTTCTATAATCAGTTTCATTCACCATAAATTGAAAAATTGTTCAATCCTGATGAAAGTCAATAAATTGACCAAAAACGTTAAATTACATTAATAAAATAGACCACATGTTAAAGATTGGTATAGTGCAGATCTATATCATCTGTAAAACACATTGTATTGAAGATTTTCCATTTATCTTTATACCATTAAGGTTAGTTTCCCTGTATTCCTTCATAGCATCTTCTATATAAATGTTGAATAAAATAGATGATAGTCCACAGCCCTATCTGAGTCCTTTCAAAATTCTTGCCTTTTCTTTACTAGAATAATAATATTATTATTATTATTTNTATTATTCAAATAAATATAATTAGTAATTTAGAAAAAGTATTATAGAATAAACATGCTTAAAAAATAAAAACACCATTTAAAAAATAAAAATAAAAGTAAATACTTACATGACAAAAAAGCAGATAAATTAACTTTGTTGAAATAGCTAGATAAATTAATTAGATAACAGAAAAAACATAAAAACCCATTGTAAATTAGTATAAAGTATTTCCGTAATTATTTAGAATTTAAACCATACACAAATTTAAAATTTATTCATTTAATCAGTAACGGATGTCATTTAATGGCTGGAATAATAATGTTTGATAACTTATTTCAAAGCAGATTTTAGAGATGAAAACTTAGTCTACAGTATAAAAACTGCTAAAACTTAATTCACTTCTATATCTTTATTAAATACAAAACAAAGACAATATTCAGATGAGAATTATCCTCATAAATCCAAAAAATATAAAGAACATCATGACCATTTTTTACAGGGTGTATCAGAATGACGTTTTAAAAATTTGGGGGATTGTAGAGGATGAAATTCTGAACGTTTTGATATAAGGAACCTATAGCCGGAAATGTGATATAAAGTTTCTACAGCACTTTGCACATTCTATGCAGTCGGTATGCTGAATAAAACAGCAAATTACAGTATTTATGACAAGTTTTATTAACAAAACAGTAGAGTACAATCAAACTGTACATCATATCAGTGGCTATACTACTTTAGAGTAAATGTTCAATGTGACGACCACCAACTTCGTTACATAATGTGCAATGACAAACCATGTTTTGTCCGACCCTCTGTAAGATGCCATGCTCCCCTCTGATGGTATTAAATGCTGTAAAGATGCACTCCGTAAGCTCATGAACTGTTCCTACAGGTGTTGCGTACACAAGGGACTCATGTTGACTAGCTGTGTGTTTACAGCACAGCGCCAGTGGATGCAAGGGGTGACCTGAAGGACAACAAGCACTAAGTACACAATGTCCTGTATACAGGCTCAGTTAGACCACCGTAGTTGTGTGTTTACAGTCTTCTATCTGCAGCAATAACATGATGTCAATGGACAGAAGGGTAGCTACAAAAGTGAAGGGCAGTCAAGCACTTCCTACCACTGTAGACACTTTAGTTCAAATTTCCGGCTATAGGTTCCTTATATCAAAACGTTCAAAATTTCATCCTCTATAATTCCCCAAATTTTTAAAACGTCATTCTGATACACCATGTATATTCAACAATAAAATGGTCATAATGTTCTTTATATTCTTTGGATTTATGAGGATAATTCTCATCTGAATATTGTCTTTGTTTTGTATTTAGTGTCTTTAAAGTCAAAAATTAAAAGTCTTTAAAACTGTTACAGTTTATTATTAATACCTGCATAAATCATAAAAGTTGATTTATTATTTACTATCAATGTAATTTTCAGCATTATAGATATGAAGAATAAATCTTAAATTTGCATAAAATTTTGTTATAAATTAAAAACAGATGTTAAAAGTTATTTAGAAAAGAAAGAAATCTCTGTTAAGCAAATTATAAAAGAAGTAAATATAGTTATTATTATTAATACAAGAAGTATAATATATCAACTATATGAAAACCAAGTAGTATTAATAAGGCTTTCCCTATTAATGCTATTTGGTCTTTGTATACCTAATATATTATTCTTCTGTCCCTATAGTCAATTCCTTTAAAATATTCAACATTATTGTCCAATCTATGTTATGAAATGCTTTTTCTATATCAATAAAAACAATGAATATTTGACAGATCTGCTTTTATTGTTTTTTCTATGATCATGCATAGACTTAAAATGGCCTCTCCTGTGTAATTGTTTTTCCTAAAACCAAGTTGATCCTCAGAGATATTGTCATTGACAATGTTCTGTAATCTGTCGAGTACTATCCTTGTAAACATTTTTTTAAGTGTGGTATTAAACTTAGTGTCCCGCAATGTTCACATTTTAGTTCCCCTTTTTTCTTACATATTGGAATTATATATTCTGATTTGAAATCTTTTGAGATGATTCCAGTGATATACATTTGATCAACTAATTTATATGGAGTATATCTTCTATTATCTCCTAGAGCTTGGATGATTTCTGCAAGGATTCCATTTATTCCTTGACTTCTCTTTCAAATTATTCTTTCAGTATTCATGGGACAATCTCATCTCCATGCACTGTAATTTCCCCTTCAAGAATATGCTTTTTGAGTGGGTCCTCCCGGTAAAGTTCTTCTGTATATTTTTTCCATCTATATGCTGTTTCATCATTTTCAGTTAGAATCCTTCCATTTTTGTCTTTATCATATTCTCATTAACTTTACTGCAGATCTTTTCTATACATTCTTCCTTTGTTTTTCTTGTTTATTAATCATATTTCTGCAAATTATGTGTTGTGCCTGGTTGTTGTTGCTCTTTCCATCATCTCAAGAATTTTCTCATATATCATGGTTTGTATATGTTGTTTTTCCATTCCAAAGCATTTTTTTAGCAGCTTCAGTGACCTCTTTTTTTTTAGGAATTTCCAATTTTCTTCAATGTTAGTGCTATCTTCATAGTTGAGTTTATTTGAAAGCTGATTTGTGCTTAATTTTTGTAAAGTTCCAATATTGGATCTGTGAGTGGAGATTCTCTTTCTTCAGTTTTAGCCATAGTTGACTTGTCATGAGCACTAAATTACTGACATTGTGTCCATACCAGATGTTTCCAAAATGTTGTTCATCTTAGGCTCTCATTAGTAATGGTAAGTGCTGCTGTCCACTACCATGGTTTAGAATCAGTTTTCCTTCTTCTAATCAATTTTGTATAGTATATATATCATCAATTATAGTATGTATATATATATCACATATTCAATGAGAATAGAATTTTCATTTATTTATTTTTAAAAAATTTAATAGTTTATAAACTTCTAAAATATAATGTTTTAGTTTTAATTAAGAACAGAAAAAAATATTGATTTTTACAAATATAAGATATCCCAAATATATAATATTTGTTATGAATGATGATACTTGTAATTAATATATTTGATAAAATTCATAATGTGAATAGTTTATTACTGTTGTAATTCTCTAACAATGTATGGTAGTTATATTTTATTAGGTTTTATAAGATATAATTTTAAAAATAAAAAATAAAAATTATTTAAAGAGAAAGTATTATTCAAATAAATATAATTAGTAATTTAGAAAAAGTATTATAGAATAAACATGCTTAAAAAATAAAAACACCATTTAAAAAATAAAAATAAAAGTAAATACTTACATGACAAAAAAGCAGATAAATTAACTTTGTTGAAATAGCTAGATAAATTAATTAGATAACAGAAAAAACATAAAAACCCATTGTAAATTAGTATAAAGTATTTCCGTAATTATTTAGAATTTAAACCATACACAAATTTAAAATTTATTCATTTAATCAGTAACGGATGTCATTTAATGGCTGGAATAATAATGTTTGATAACTTATTTCAAAGCAGATTTTAGAGATGAAAACTTAGTCTACAGTATAAAAACTGCTAAAACTTAATTCACTTCTATATCTTTATTAAATACAAAACAAAGACAATATTCAGATGAGAATTATCCTCATAAATCCAAAAAATATAAAGAACATCATGACCATTTTTTACAGGGTGTATCAGAATGACGTTTTAAAAATTTGGGGGATTGTAGAGGATGAAATTCTGAACGTTTTGATATAAGGAACCTATAGCCGGAAATGTGATATAAAGTTTCTACAGCACTTTGCACATTCTATGCAGTCGGTATGCTGAATAAAACAGCAAATTACAGTATTTATGACAAGTTTTATTAACAAAACAGTAGAGTACAATCAAACTGTACATCATATCAGTGGCTATACTACTTTAGAGTAAATGTTCAATGTGACGACCACCAACTTCGTTACATAATGTGCAATGACAAACCATGTTTTGTCCGACCCTCTGTAAGATGCCATGCTCCCCTCTGATGGTATTAAATGCTGTAAAGATGCACTCCGTAAGCTCATGAACTGTTCCTACAGGTGTTGCGTACACAAGGGACTCATGTTGACTAGCTGTGTGTTTACAGCACAGCGCCAGTGGATGCAAGGGGTGACCTGAAGGACAACAAGCACTAAGTACACAATGTCCTGTATACAGGCTCAGTTAGACCACCGTAGTTGTGTGTTTACAGTCTTCTATCTGCAGCAATAACATGATGTCAATGGACAGAAGGGTAGCTACAAAAGTGAAGGGCAGTCAAGCACTTCCTACCACTGTAGACACTTTAGTTCAAATTTCCGGCTATAGGTTCCTTATATCAAAACGTTCAAAATTTCATCCTCTATAATTCCCCAAATTTTTAAAACGTCATTCTGATACACCATGTATATTCAACAATAAAATGGTCATAATGTTCTTTATATTCTTTGGATTTATGAGGATAATTCTCATCTGAATATTGTCTTTGTTTTGTATTTAGTGTCTTTAAAGTCAAAAATTAAAAGTCTTTAAAACTGTTACAGTTTATTATTAATACCTGCATAAATCATAAAAGTTGATTTATTATTTACTATCAATGTAATTTTCAGCATTATAGATATGAAGAATAAATCTTAAATTTGCATAAAATTTTGTTATAAATTAAAAACAGATGTTAAAAGTTATTTAGAAAAGAAAGAAATCTCTGTTAAGCAAATTATAAAAGAAGTAAATATAGTTATTATTATTAATAAACAAGTCAATACTTACCAGAATATCTTGAATGTTGTGAGTTTTAATTAGAATGTATTTTATGTCAAAACAAAAATTACCCAATATATATTTGTGTGTGATTGTATTTTGAAGAACTATAAAAATAACAAAATGGAAACAGAGGAAGCAAATTGGCAGGAGGATATTAAATTAATAAAATAAAATAAAAGTGCAGGATAAGTGCAGAATTAGCAATTTTTAACTTAAGCATGCATTTAAAAACAAATTTAAATTATTACTATAAAAATATTATTATATAAAAAGCAAATTATTATTTATAAAAATAAACAAAAAATATTAGTAAATTAGTGATTATCAGCTTAATAATTATTATATTAATTAAAGGTGCAATTATTAAACATGTGCTTAAATACTAAAAAAATTGCATAAATCAGATATTAATACGCTAATTTATATTACAGTATATAAGAAGCATTTAATTAAGATAATCAGTGCAATATGATAAAATTAAATTTACAATATATATTTTAATATTGCAACAGAACTGTAAATAATAAAAAAGACAGTTTTCTGAAAATCATCCTACCCTCTTGCCCCTTCTTCCCCTGTCTCCTTTATCCCCTTTATCGCCATGATCCCCTGGAGGTCCAGGTGTCCCTGTTTCACCCTGGTGCAAAAAGTAAATTAACCAAACGATCATCATCCATTTTTGTGATATTTGATATTTACATACCTTCTGCACAAGCAGAAACTGTAAAATATTATATATATTAAAAAATTATTTTTTTATAAATATACCTTTCTTCCTGGTGGTCCTGCAGGACCTGGAGGACCTGGTGGACCAGGTGGACCTTCAATGAATCCTGTAGGAAATGCATTTCCATCTAGCGTCGTTGTTAATCCTCGATCACCTTTTTCACCTTTATCTCCCTGGAAAAATATAAATTTCATTTAATTTTAGTTTTGTAATAAAATTTATTGAAATATTTTAGTTTGTTGGCAATTTATAAACACAAGAAAAAATAATTTACTTTAACAGTTTTTACTTTCTTGAGTGAGTTTTCTTTAGTGATTTTATTTTTTAGGAAACACTCAATTCTCATAAATAATTATTTTTCTTGAATGATTTATTTCTATAAATTATTATTCAAGCAAAAAATAAATTTTTAAGAACAAAGTTCAGCTTTATTTTTTTAAATGTTTTTGGAATTACGCCAATCCATCTTAAGATTATCTAAAGTCTTTAATGAGAAATTATTTTAAATAAATAATATTTAATCTAGTGTTAACATTATACATTCACTTATGGAAATATTTTGGATTAAATTATTAAATATAACTGCCTAACACCAAATTGTTAAGGTGTGTTAGTGGCAACAATTAGATTTCCACTAAAACAATATGGTATTCTAATTAAAGAAACTTTTCACAAATTAAAATGTACCTAATATAATTTGTGCACTTTTTATTAAAATAGAATATTAAAACCATAAAATCCTACTAATGTACTAAAGAATGATTACTCATTAAAGAGTGCATCATGTTGCAAATGTATTTATTCTAGCTGCACTTCTTCATATACATGATAAATAGACTTCTTCCAGGCCCAAATTTTTAGCATTGTCTGTATATACATTAAAAATAGCCACATGACTAAAACAAATGACTGGATAGCATTATTGCAGTAAACTATCACACAAATGCTACAAATCACAAAATCCATATCTTACTACTTTTAAAA